AAGCCTGCGGTACGAAGATTTGGGATATCAATAACCCTTGCAAGGAGAGGTCTTTACTCCTCTTTGGTGGCGTTTTTTGTAATTGTTACATTGCACTGAGGTAACACCATACTTCAAAGCTTCAGCTGAGTTGACAGGGATTAGGGATAGAATTGCTAAATTTTGACAGGGATCAAGAAAAATATCTCACTTGATTTACAACTTTTCTTTTCTCTCTCTCTCTTTTTTTTTTTTTTAAAGCATGATCTCTATACAGCTAGTACTAGCAAGGTATGAGATGCTGGACACAGTCGGCGGACACTAAAAATCTTGAAATCACCTGTTTAGTGCATTTTTTCTATCCACACAGGATTAAAATAGTAACCAAACACAAATGAAGCATTTTCCTCTGGGGCAGACAGGCACAGAGCCATTTTACTTTTCTTTTTGCCTTCCCATCTATAACAAGGTGGATGGAGTTCACTCAAGGCCATTCAGGAATTTTAACCTAACAAATTTCTTCCTAACAGAACCTAACATTCTCTTTTGGTTGCAGCTGCCAATGGTCTCTTCCCACAGCATGTTATAGATCTTGGAATTAATAGGTGGGATCCCAGATTTACACAGCCTAAATTTAGATGTCTGCAATAACTGTATAGGTTAGATCTCTCTTGACTATACTAACTGTTCAGACATCAGCCCACATGTAAACATGCAAATTTAGGTAGCAGTCTGAAGCTGAAATCCATCCTAATTGTACGCATTTATTTTGCGGACCCCTTTGAACTAGTCCTCCTTTACATGGTTGCTCATTGCTGCAAGGGACTGAATGACTGAAATGATCTCATTAATTCTTATGCTGATGTGCAATTCATATGGATACCAAACAAACAGCTGAGGCATAATCTGAGCTTTATGGGAAGTGCATGGTAAAATTTCTAATGTTCAGCAGTATCTGAATTCTTGCTCTACATTTTAATTAGAATATTCTCTGAAAGTGGCCCTTCACATATTCAGTCCAGAATTTACTCACAAAGAAAGTAATACTGGTGGTTGGTAACACAGTATATTTTATACATTATTCCAGCCTATTGTATATATAAACAGCACACAGCTTTTTCATTAATGTTATCTTGCATGGAACTGTTATGTTTCTAAGATGATTTGAAATACTTTTAGCTTTCAAACTGATGCTAATCAGAAATTAATTTTCTATATTAAGTATTTCAGGAAAAAAAGCAAAAAAAAACCCTGTTATTTTTATTAGAAAAAGAAACAGAGCTGTATAAACAAAACTGAGGAAGAGTTATACTGCGTACTCAGGAATAACTATCAGCAAATGGTGGGAAGCTCTGAAAACTGAAAAAGATCTTGACTTGAATGGCTGCAATTTTACCAAAAATATCCTGTAATAAGACAAGTTTTAAAAGAAATCTGCCACAGCAGCAAAAAATCTGAAGGTAGCAGATTGGTAGCAGAAGGTAGCAGATCCTGTCTTCTCTGCTTTGGTGCTGAAATTCAGAGCAGTGCTCTTCTGGAGCTTAAGAAGCTCTCAAAGCTAAAACAGTATGAGTGACAGCACTGTGTTTAAGGTATAAGGTCTGCAGCACAGAATGACCTTTTACATGAAGGCCCAGAAGGAAAAGATTTGGTTTTCCCATATAGTAAAATTATTTCCCTAGAAGGGAAAAGGAAAAGTTGGAAAAGGGCTTTTCCTACACATGCTCAGAGGGGGTAGGCTTTTTATAATAGGGTTTTGGGTATTTTTACTAACTCTCCTGTTAAGATAAACATTGAGACAAGGATAGAAAAATATGTATCTTCATAATGGAGATCAAAAGCTGTTTTTTAAGCTTTAGTTTCAAAAATTTCCTCTGACCACCTTTCACAATACTCGAGGAGACCAGCTAGAGTTTTCTTAACAGGAGAAGTCCATTCTGGAGCTTTACATGCAATTTAATACACGTAAATTAAAAAATCTTTTCTTTTTTTTAAATTACTAAATATAGACTGTCCTAACAGTGGGATAGATCACATGACTGGGATGCTGTCATGGATGGCTACGTGCTTTTTAGGAAAGACAGGCCAGGAAGGCGAGGTGGTGGAGTTGCTCTTTATGTGAGGGAGCAACTAGAATGTGTGGAGCTCTGCCTCGGGGTGGATGAAGAGCAAGTTGAGAGCCTATGGGTAAGGATTAAAGGGCAGGCTAACATGGGTGACACTGTTGTGGGGGTCTACTCCAGGCCACCTGACCAGGAGGAAGTCATCGATGAGGCCTTCTACAGACAGCTGGAAGAAGCCTCATGATCACAGGCCCTGGTTCTCCTGGGGGACTTCAACCACCCTGACATGTGTTGGGAAGACAGCACAGCTAGGCACAAACAGTCAAAGAGGTTCCTGCAAAGCATTGATGATAATTTCTTGACCCAGGTGGTGGAGACGCCAACGAGGAGAGGTGCAATGCTAGACCTTGTACTAACGAACAAAGAAGGTCTAGTTGGAGAGGTGAAGGTTGGAGGCAGCCTTGGCTGCAGTGACCATGAGATGGTGGAGTTCAGGATCCTGCGAGGAGGGAGCAGGGCAATGAGTAGGATTG